TACTGTCTGTTTTGGAAGTAATTTATTTGAGATTTCATGTACAGTCGGGATACACTTCAAACTTTTCATGTTGTGTCTCATGCCTTGATAAACACACACACTTGCAATAGAGAATTGTGTACACTGCGCATTTCTGGCTTTTATTTCTTGTTGACATGTTTAAAAATCAATTCAGGGCCACCTGTTCTGATCCTTTATTATTGATATTTGGTGAGGATTGTTTTCGGTATATCTGTTTTAGTTTTGTTTTTGAAGTACAAGTTTTTGTGGTTGCCTCCCTTTGCTGATGGAATTGTTGTTGACCTAAACCAGGACTTAAACACGCAATCTAAGCTGCTATCTCGGTACATTATTGAGAGAGCACTGTCTTGAAATCTATCTTTGCTGATTTTCAGGATTCCACTTCCTCCAAAGCTTATTTAACATCGCACTTCTTTTATTTGAAGGCAATTGTAAGAAAAAATGTATTATCTACGAGGTTTTCTTTTTTGACTTTATTGGTCTTAGTTTAGATAATGTCAAGACAGCATCACAAAGGGAAATTCCACATTCATTGTAAAGTCAATATATTGGATACGAAGACACAAATTATATCATACCCCTTTTAAAATGATCTGTGTTATCCTTGACGAGTTATGAAGTGAGCATCATCTAATTAGTGCTCCCTTCTTCAAATCACTTGATTATTGCACTGTCTGCTGCCTCTAACCACCCATATCCCATTGCTCCAAAACATAACTGATTGATTAGTCCCCTGCACAGCAGTACCCCTCCTTTGCTCACCATTGTCCTCCGTCCTAGTTTTTCCATACTATCAGACCATCCTCTCCTAATACCAAACCCCAATATATCTCATGCATTTCCAACTCAAAATGCTTCATGTAACATTTTCACTCGTAATCTGGGCTCTATCTTTATCTTTATTGCTACATTCCAACACACTTCCCAATTCCATTGCACCCTTTTCATTTCTCCTAGGCTTTCAACTAGTCTCCCAACATTACCAAGCTACATAATGCATAAACAATTAGATTAGTACCTTTTAAAATGTCAAATAGCAATGAAACTATTTGCCCCAGTCTGGGGCCCAGTCCTAACATGAGTTGCAACCTGACATATAGCATCAATAACTTGCAATTAATAGAACGTCAATGTCAGAAAAATATCCCTTGTGCTTCCCAGACAAAAAAAAAAGTTACATTCAGAAGGATGACCAAATGCTTGGTGAATGAAATGGAGAATTAGGAGTAGACCGGGATGTAGGAAATTCCAGAATGTGGTACTTAGGTGGCTGAAGGTACATAAACAGTATTGAAATGAAGGAAGTGGGAGAGTGTATGAGAGGCTGGAATCTGAAGTACTGAGAATGAAATGGTGCTGGGACAAATGGGGGCAGAAGTTGTAGAACTGATAAATATTGCAAAAATAGGAAGGAACAAGACAGCAAAAAGATTTAAATGTAATTTTTTTAAAATTGAATTTCTAGGAAATTAGAGTATGAGGAGCAGATTTTTGAGATGAGGTGGCATTTACAGAGTAGAGTAAATTATGACTCCTTCCATTACCCTGTTTCTCCTGATTGATACCCTCTTCTTGCACCTCAAAGTCTCTGGGTTGGCATTTCTCGTCTGTTCAAAAATGTCCTTAACATGTTCCCGTCTTTACTATGCTTCTACTGCATCTTTGCTAACCAGTTCCTGACTTCGTCTCGACTCAAAGACACCTTTTTTAAATTGATCATGATGAGCATTAAAAGAAATGTAGATTATTTTAATTACATGTTCCGTGCTTAATGTGGGTACATCAAGTTCAATATCCTTTTCATACAGATGGGCAGCTTCTCAGAACACTTGCTTTACAGTATTGTAAACTTATAATTTTGGAATATATGCATTCACACAGAAAATGAATATAAATCTATGAACAAAGTAAATATATGAGAACGCAACTAAAATCTAGGAAGGGTCACTGGACCCGAAACATTAACTCTGATTTCTCTCCACAGATGCTGCCAGACCTGCTGAGCTTTTCCAGCAATTTCTGTTTTTGTTTCTTATTTCCAGCATTCCCAGTTCTTTCGGGTTTTTACAATCTACAAATGTTTGAGATACAAAAATGTGTTTTATGTAACTGAGTGATTGATGAGGAGATTACGCGAGACTGATCAGTTAACGTTTGCACCATAGTCACTTCACTTTCACTTTATTCTAGATCGAGTTGTTCCTTAACAAATTAATATTTTTGTCTTTGATACCAAAAGTTCAGAGAATTTGAGACAAATCAAACTTGCTTTTTGCCATTATAGTCAAACTATAAAGTGAGACTCTGTGTCCATTCAGCTGAAGTGGAGTACAAAAATCAAACTGCTATTAGTATGAGACATTATGCATTGTAGAACAGTAAAATTCTGTAACTGTACTCTCTATGATGCACTTTACTTGTTTTGAGCCTTACATACATCAAGTCAGTCTCATTGGTCGTGTTATTACTCGGCAAACTCCAAAAGAATGGTGCTCATTGTTCTGTTTTCTGATAATGCATATTAACACTTCTAACGCATGATTTTCAAATTTGTACGGACAATGTATGTGAGTTATGCATTCATAACTAACCTTGGCAACAGTTCCAAGGTTTAAAAGTAGAAAACAGAAAAATGTTGCTGGCCTGTTGTTAACTCGAACATTTGTTCATGGCTTCATAAATTTGTGTAATAACTGAAAACTCAAACAAGATCTGATGTGCTGTTTCTTCACTGTGGAGATATGAGAATAATTCTAGTTGCTTCAAATTAATTGACATATCAGGCATTTTTTGATTTATTGGGCATATTTGTAAATATTTCAGCAACAAAGCAAGAAAAAAGAGCCTTGACTGACCTAAGGCATAGCAGCTGAAAAATCTAGAACAAAAAAGGGGTTTAAAATATATACTGAAAACGCCATTCATTCAAAGCTCCATTATCCACGGGTGTGGGAATTGTCCTGAATTTTCTTCCCAGTAGATTTGAGATTTTGGGTCTTCATACAAACTCATCAAATTTTTTTCTGTCTTAATGTACTGTATATTTCTAGCATATTTTCTGTTTTGATTAAAGGTTGTAAGACTTTGATTATGTGGAATTGTCCCTGTGTTGCAAGCGTAGTATGGTTACATAACCAGTTGGAAAGTCAGTTTTTAGGATTCTAATAGACAGTACATGTCTAGTATTAGAATGTATATTATTTTGGTTGTATACACTTCAAAGCTGGCATTGAGCTGAATGGCAGCACTCGAAGCTGTGCCCGTGCTTAAAACAAACTATTCAGATTTGCACTTAGAAGATTTTAGCATATTTTAGAAACTGGTTTAATAACTAAAGGATTGAAGTGCTTCATTAAATTCTAAACCCACAATAAATTAAATCTGTTTATCCAGGTATGTGGTTTTAAGATTTATATAGTAGGTAGCTAGGCACCATCTTGTGGGGATACATTTAATCAGGCGAGTGGGGACTCCGCCATCTTTCCACCACCTCTCTGATCAAGTCCCTAGCAGGAAGGTTCATGGATGACCTTCCCACCTGATTGCTGATTGAGACCCTTAAATAGGAAATCAATGCTCACTCAAGGGCCTCATAAAACAATCGATGGCTTTAGAACGTACAAGTTAGGAGCAAGAGTAAACCGCGTGGTCCCTTGACCCTGCTCTGCCATTCAATTAGATCATATCTGATCTGCTTTTAACCTCAACTGTACATTCCTGCGTATCCCCAATAACCTTTAGTCCCCTTTCATCCCCTCTCATCAACCTACCTCTGCCTTAAAACTTCAAAGATTCTGCAGGTTGAGTTTAATTGCATGACTTATGGTAGCACCAAACAACAAACATGATTTCTCACCTACCCTCTCCTTCGCTGAGCATCCCTAATACTGTTGAAAAGACAGTGTTTGCTGACCGGGACAACTGTGCATGCGCTGGTGTCAGCAAATGCGGCCAAAGTGAAAATAGTTTTCATTCCTGACCAATGACTATGTTCAGACATAACCAACTTCATAGAATTCATAAAATTCAGATGTTGTATCAAAGAAAAAATGCACATCAAAAATGGTTCCTATTTCATTCAAAGAACAACTGAGGCAGGAAGATTTCAAACGTGATTCCTTGTCTGTGTTAGTTATTATCTGCTGTTGCAGTATCAGGGAAAATTTCAACAGACTTGTTCTTTATAGGTAGTGATGTGAAAATAGGCTGATCACTGTGAAGGGTCCCTGCTAGACACATGTCAAAATGAGACAGAAAAGGAAAAAGAGAATAGACAAAAATGAACTGTCAAAATAAATACAACTTTATAATGCCTTCATCTTGGTAACCTACAATCGTATTAAAGATTATATTTATACCTTCAGTATTCATGGCCTAGAAATGTATCTTCTTCAGTTCTTTGTTATCCGGGGACCGCTGTGTGTTGACATTAAGAAAGGATGGCTTTCGGCTCAACTGTGATGCTTTATAACATGAAAATAGCTTGTGAAGTTCTCTGTTTGTGCTCATGTATGAACAATGAGCATTGATTGACAAACCTGTTGACTATTGTGCACTATGAAACTTTGATTCATAGGGTGGAAGAGAAAATGGTTGGGTGTTGTGATAGCATCACTGGAACGTTGGCATTTTAAGAGTTTAATTTGCAAATGAGCAAAGTACCTGGATATTACCATATGACCACAGGCTCTCTGTAGTGGAACACTTGAAGCACAGGTTGTCTGGAGATTACTCTGTACTACATAGGTTATTTTAACTGTAAATAAATCCACCAGAGATATTCAAGTAAGAGGTGTCCTTGTACCTTTATTTGTGTCACATTTAGTACAAAGAATGTTATTATGTTTGGCTGTTAAATAATTTTCTGATTAGGCAGTTTTCAAATGTGCTCCTTATGTTTATTATATAAAACTAAATTAGTAATCTTACTGTTGAATATTCTGAGAATTTTGTCATTTATAATTTTGCAATTTTTCTAGGTCTGGCTGGAAAGATTTTAGATGCCATTGAAGAACGAGGGTTTAAGTTTACCGCATTTCAACTGGTAAGATAATTAATCCTTTTTGTACAAAAACTTTGTAAAAGTAATTTTGTGTGCAAAAGTTTACAAGCTACCCTTAGTTGGGAGAAATTTCTGGAAGTTAATGCCAGGAGCCTTTGGACCTAAAGTGGCACCTGAACCATTGCTTTAAAAACTCAATTGTGATTTGATGATCCTCCAAGCTCCTTGGCATACTTCATCTGTTCCGATGCAGTAGGTTGTGAATGGAGGTTTTTTTTGGAAATGGAATGGTAGCAGTATAGAAGATAGAAGCAGGAGCAGGTCATTTGCCCTTTGAGCCTACTGCATCATTTAGTATAATCACAGCTGATCATAAGAACTAGGAGCAGGAGTAGGCCGTCTGGCCCTTCGAGCCTGCTCCGCCATTCAATAAGATCATGGCTGATCTTTTCGTGGACTCGGATCCACTTACCCACGTTCTCACCGTATCCCTTAATTCCTTTATTGTTCAAAAAAAACTACCTTTTTTTTTAGAAACATTTACTGAAGTAGCGTCAACTACTTCCCTGGGCAAGGAATTCCATAGATTAACAACCCTCTGGGTGAAGAAATTCCTTCTCCAATTCAGTCCTAAATCTGCTCCCTCTAATCTTGAGGCTATGCCCTCTTGTCCTAGCTTCACCTGCCAGTGGAAACATCCTCTCTACTTCTATCTTATCTATTCCCTTCATAATTTTATATGTTTCTATAAGATCCCCCCTCAATCTTCTGAATTCCAATGAATATTCTCTCCTCATAAGCCAACCCCCTCAACTCTGGAATCAATCTAGTGAACCTCCTTTGCACCCCCTCCAGTGCCAGTACATCCTTTTCTCAAGTAAGGAGACCAAAACGGCACACAGTACTCCAGGTGTGGCCTTGTACAGCTGCAACATAACCTCTCTGCTTTTTATTTCAATCCCTTTAGCAAAGAAGGACAAAATTCCATTTGCCTTCCTAATTACTTGTTGTACCTGCAGACCTACCTTCTGTGATTCATGCACAAGGATACCCAGCTCCCTCTGCATAGCAGCATGCTGCAACTTTTTACCATTCAAGTAATAATCCTTTTTACTATTACTCCTACCAAAATGTATGACTTCACATTTATTTACATTGTATTCCATCTGCCAGACCTTTGCCCACTCACTCAATGTATCTATGTTCCTCTGCAAAGTTTCACAGTCCTCTGCACACTTTGCTCTGCCACTCATCTTAGTGTCACCTGCAAACTTTGACACCCTACACGTGGTCCCCAACTCCAAATCATCTATATAAATTGTAAATAATTGCGGTCCCAACACCGATCCCTGAGGCACACCACTAGTCACTGACTGCCAGCTAGAATAGCACTCATTTATCCCCACTCTTTGCTTCCTGTTAGTCAACCAATCCTCTATCCATCCTAATACTTTACACTTAATACCATGCATCCTTATCTTATGCAGTAGCCTCTTGAGTGGCACCTTGTCAAAGGCCTTTTGGAAGTCTAGGTACACCACATCCACTGGGTCCCCATTGTCCACCTCGCTCGTAATGTCTTCATAGAATTCCAAAAGATTTGTCAAGCTTGACCTGCCCTTCATGAATCCATATTGCGTCTGCCCAACGAGACAATTTCCATCAAGATGCCTTGCTATTTCTTCCTTGATAATAGACTCAAGCATCTTTCCCACTACAGAGGTTAAGCTAACCGGTCTATAATTCCCCATCTTTTGTCTACTTCCCTTTTTCAACAGTGGCGTCACATTTGCTGTTTTCCAGTCTGCTGGGACTGCCCCAGAGTCCAGCGAATTTTGGAAAATTACCACCAGTGCACCCGCTATTTCTCCCAACATCTCTTTTAGTACCCTGGGATGCATTCCATCAGGGCCAGGAGACTTATCAATCCTTAGCTCCATTAGCTTGCCCAACACTACCTCTTCCGTAATTATGGTTGTTTCCAGGTCCTCACTTACCTTCGTCTCTTTGTCAATTACTGGCATGTTATTAGTGTCCTCCACTGTGAAGACCGATACAAAATACCTGTTCAATGCCTCGGCCATTTCATCATATCCCATAACTAAATTCCCCTTCTCATGCTCTAAAGGGCCAACGTTTACTTTAGCCACTCTTTTTCGTTTTATATATTTATAGAAACTTTTCCTATCTGTCTTTATATTCTGTGCTAGTTTTTTCTCATATTCTATCTTACTTTTCCTTATAGCTCTTTTTGTGGCTTTCTGTTGACCTTTAAAGTTTTCCCAATCTTCTAGTTTCATGCTGTTTTTGTCCACTTTGTATGCCTTCTCTTTCAATTTGATAGCCTCCCTTATTTCTTTCGACACCCATGGCAGATTACCCCTTTTCTTACAGTCCTTCCTCTTCATTGGAATATACTTTTGCTGAGCACTTTGAAAGATTGCGTTGAAAGTCCTCCACTGCTCGTCAACTGTCCCACCATAAAATATTTGTTTCCAGTTTACTTTAGCCAAGTCCTCCCTCATTCTATTGTAGTTCCCCTTGTTCAAGCACAGGACCCTGGTATTGGATTTTATCTTCACACACTCCATCTGTATTCTAAATTCAACCATACTGTGATCATTCCTTCCAAGAGGATCCCTAACTATGAGGTCATTAATTATTCCTGTCTCATTACACAGGACCAGATCTAGGATAGCTTGCTCCCTCGTTGGTTCCATTAAATACTGTTCAAGAAAACTATCACGGATACACTCAACGAACTCCTCCTCAAGGCTACCCTGACCGAGCTGGTTCGACCAATCTACATCATCCAACTCTGTACCCTCTTCCATTTTCTCCTCCTACCTTATGAACCCTTTAGCCTGAAAAATGTGAGGCGCTGCATTTTGGAAAGGCAAATCAGGGCAGGACTTATACACTTAATGGTATGGTCCTGCTGAACAAAGACATCTTGGGATGCAGGTTCATAGTTCCTCAAAAGTGGATTCCCATGTCGACAGGATAGTGACGAAAGTATTTAGTATGCTTGCCTTTATTAGTCAGTGCATTGAGTCTAGGAGTCAGGAGGTCGTGTTGTGGCTGTCCAGGACATTGGTTAGGCCACTTTTCGAGTAGTGTGCATTTCTGGTCTCCCTGCTATAGGAAGGATGTTGTGAAACTTGAAAGGGTTCAGAAAACATTTTACAAGGAAGTTACCAGGGTAGGAGGGTTTGAGATATAACGGGAGGCTGAACAGGCTGGGGCTATGTTTCCTGGAACGCAGAGACGGGGGGTGACCTTATAGAGGTTTATAAAGCATGAGGGGCATGGATCGGGTGAATAGCAAAGTCTTTTACCCCAGGTGAGGGAGTCCAAAACTAGAGGGCATAGGTTTAAGTTGAGAAGGGAACAATTTAAAAGGGACCTAAGCGGCAAGTTTTTCACGCAGAGCGTGATGTGTGTATGGAATAAGCTGCCAGAGGAAGTGATGGAGGCTGGTACAATTACAACATTTAAAAGGCATCTGGATGGGTATATGAATAGGAAGGGTTTACAGGGATATGGGCCAAATGCTAGCAAATGGAACTAGATTAATTTAGGATATCTGGTTGGCATGGATGAGTTGGACCACAGGGTCTGTTTCCATGCTGTGACTCCTTGTTTTAAAAAAATTCTGTGTTTTGGACTTACCTGCTTTCTGTCACAGGAAGATGCCACAGACTCCCCACTCTCTCGGTGAAAAGGGCTCTCCGCACATCAGTCCTAAATGGCCTAGCCCATATCCTTAGCCTGTGACTATATTTGAATGCCATATGATGGAAGTATCGTGGCAGCCACCTTGGAATCAAGGCCGATCTGTTTTTGTGATCATGTACATATCAATAAGGTTGTGACTGACAGAGTCTTCGTAGATAATAGCACCTTGTATTTGAAGGAAACTGTCCTTTGAAGAGAACCCCACTACACATTAATTTTGACTGTCATCCAGTTTCTCATCTACATACAGCTCCTCGGTGTTGTCATTCAGAAATAATTTCCACTTGTACATTGATGATGCCCAACTCATCACCAGCTCTCTTGCTGCCTCTAATGATTGTGGTTTGTTGTGCTGTTTGTCCAACATCCATTGTTTAAAAAGATTCCTCCAACTAAACATTTGCAAAATTGAAGCTACTTTCGTTTTCTGTAACAAACTCCATTCCCTATCCACTGATTCCATCCCTCCCCCAGCTGTTGTTTGAAGGTGAAGGATATAATTCACAGCTTTTGAAGTTTTATTTGGTCCTAAGAAGAACTTGCACACGCATATCTGCTCCATTGTTAAGACCAACTGTTTCTACCTTTGTACTGTCACCTGTCTTTGACCTGCCTTGGCTCTTCTACTGAAACCCACACGTATATCTTTGTTGCCTACAGACTAATAGAATACTCTCTTACTGATATTCCATTTTCAACCCTTCATAAATGTAAACTTACCATAACCTTGGATGTGTCCTAATTCACGCACAGTCTCATTTGCCTATCACACCTGTCCTTGCTGACATACATTGAATCCCAGTCACACAATGTCTCAATTTTAAAGTTTTGATCCTTGTTTTCAAATTGCTTCGGGGTCTCAGCCTTCTAATTTCCCCCCGACATATTACAAGCGGGCATAGTGCTATTACAAGGGGGCATAGTTTTAAAGTGAGTGGAAGTAGATATAGGGGAGACGTCAGAGGTAGGTTCTTTACTCAGAGTGTGGTCAGGGCGTGGAATGCATTGCCGGAGAGCGTAGTGGAGTCGGCCTCATTAGGGGCATTTAAGCGGCTATTAGATAGGCATATGAATGATAGTATAAGGTAGGGGTGGAGGTTAGATAGACCTTAGGATTAGGGTAAAAGTTTGGCACAACATCATGGGCCAGTACTGTGCTGTCCTGTTCTATGTTCTATGTAAATCTAAGATCTTTGCAATCATCCACTTCTGGTGTCTTGCTCAAACCCAATTTCAATCAGCTGTACCGTCTACCTATTTCAAACTTTTCTAGAATTCTTTTCCATGATTTCTTTACCTGTCTTTCCTCTTTTTTTTAAGATGGTTCCCTAAAACCTCGATCTTCCACCACCTCTCTCAATATTGCTTTCTGTGGTAGATTGTCAAACTGTTTGTTAATGCCTGTGTGAAGGATGTTGGGATGTTAATGACATTTCATAAATATGTATTTACTGCAGTTTGGATCTAAGTATCAGGAGTACTTGCATTTTACAATTGTAAATTAACGACTTGTTTTTAATATTTGTCTCCCTGGCTCAGGAGCAACAGCAAAATATGGATGAGGTGTTTGAAGCTCCAAATAGCATGCAAGTGTCTTGATGACGGAGCAGATAAGTGGTTGAAAGCTCATCTCAGGGTTGTCTAAAATGTCAAAAGTTATGAACAATCTAATTCTGCTCTAGACAGTAGCCAGGGAAAAGAAATTGTGTCAGGGACTTGCGAATAGAATTTGTTGAAGGAGAGATGGTTTATTAAGATTGAGATGCAGAAAGAGACAGGAGTCTGGAGATCGTGAACCTTCCTGTATTTTCCCATTTTGTTGACCCGATGAAGGACAAATGTATAACAAGTTTCCAAGCTTTGGTCTCATAATTGGCATTTTTGGCTAAAATACTTTGTGTAAATTTAGTTTATCTGTGAATATACAGTTAATAGATGCTCAAGTTCTGATTTTGGGATATCATTGAGTTCTACACCATTTAGTTGTGTATGGCCTTTTACGGGAAATACAGTTTGGAAGATAGATGGCAACTGCTGAAGCAGATGTAGTGTTAACGAGATCTCATACCAAAATTAAAATTTTGGTGAGCCCACTGCTATTTCGTCCTGTAAGATGCATGAATTTTTCGGCTGTAGTTCGATTCCTAAAGTTCTGTGCCTTTTCTAATACTGCAATGAAAAGTTTTTTGCTTATTTTGTTGAAAGTACTTTTGTCTCCAAATTAAGTAACATAACTAAGTACATAATGTTTAGAAATCTTATGTATCTTTCATGAAAGGATAGTTATTGCTGGTCTGAGACCCCAGGACCTGATTTTAGATATTTAATGCATAGAGCAGAAGGGAACTCATTTAATTTGGGGGTATGAGAGACAGAATGCTGGAATATCAGGAACAGGAGAAGAATCCAGTGAAAAATCCGAAGTCAAATGTAGGGACGACAGTTAATTGATGTGCACAAACGAGGATCTGGAAATTCATTAAAGGAAGAGAAGAAACAAAAGCTATTAAATAATTTATGATCAATAACATAATTAATGTGTAGAATTAATAAATGCCAAACAAGACCTGCAGCAGACTGGCTGTTGGAACTTTCAAATGTTAATTGGAACTGGAAAATCCTTTGGGAATGAGTCACATGTGAAGAATCAGGCCGTTATAGGAATAAATATAGCATATTTAAGTGTGATGCAAATGGAATAACAGGAAACACGTGATAGATTGAGAGAAAATTCGCAGAAACCACAAGATGTTTTGAGCTACAAATTTAGTAAGGCCTAGGGGAGGCCTAATGGTATTTTTGCTGGACCTGTTAATCCAGAGACCTAGAAATGTTCCGGGGACCAGGGTTTGAATCATGCCAAGGCAAATAGTGGAATTTGAATTCAACAAAAATCTGGAGTTAAGAGTCTAATGATGACAATGAATCCATTCTTGATTGTCAGGAAAAACCCATCTGGTTCACTAATGTCCTTTGGGGAAGGAAACTGCTATCCTTACCTGGCCAGGCCGACATGTCACTTCAGACATTATGTGGTTGACTCTTAACTGGCATGACTGAGGGTAGCAAAAGCACATTCATGAACTGTTAGTTTTTTTTTAAGTTTCTAGTTTCTCGTAGTAGTAGTCGTACCCTTTCCACTGAGTTGGAAGATCATGGATTCAAGTCACATTCAGAAATCTGAGCACATAATTTATACACTTGGTATAAACTTATACGTAGACACATATTCAACAAAGGAGGACAGGAAAAGAAATATTGATTTCTGATTTTATTGTTACATGTACTGAAATACAGTGAAAAGCTTTGTTTACAAACAGTACAGGTAGATCACAGCAAGCAAAGGATGTACTGATCAAAAAGACTTCGAGGCTTGCAGTTTACATTATTTGAGGCTAGAGTCCATTCAACAGCCAGAAAGAAGCTATTCCTGAACCTGCTTGTGCGGGTGTTCAGGCTTCTGTATCTTCTGCCTGATGGAAGAGGTTGTAGGAGGTCATTACAGCCTCTTCCAACAACTGTGCCACAATATATGCGCTCCTAGCATATCCAACAGCCATGAAATATGCTGGGAAAGATGGAAAATTAGATTTAAAAACACATGCCAGGTAGGGTACAAAATCTGGAAAAACCTCTCTCTGACCTTTTTAGATGATCAAAAGTCCAGGAGATTACTCAAGCCTTAATTAATGTTACTTAAATCATTTCATCTGAAGTGATCTTGACCCCGGCCAGATGCAAATGCAGCTCTCACTTGTACAAATTCATGGAATCCGTATTCGCTGTGTGGACCTGTCATCTGTTCCAGAGTCCACTATTGTCTGGAAGAAGGATCACTTTCTATGATCTAAATTAATCTGTGGTCTTCTCTAATCTATTTTGTTCAATAAAAGTTTGCTGGAGTTCTGCACTGTAGGAAGTAGTGTTTTTCAGATAGATACAAAACCAACTGCGGTGGTTAACATTTTTTCTCTTCTTCTCACAGTTCAAATTAGACCAAGCTAATGCAGAAGAGTTCCTTGAAGTGTATAAAGGAGTTGTTTCTGAATACAATGTAAGTAGAATTTTGTTAAGATGGTGAAAGAACATTAGAAATACCTAAACAGGTGGAGAACAGAGGAATGTTTTTGCAAAATCAACGCAAAATGCGGAGAACGGAGGATTGTTTTAGCAAAAACAACACAAAATACATTTTTTTTTCTGAAGAAGCGTCCCAACCTGAAACGTCAGCATTTTTGCTCTCTGATGCTGCCTGTCCTGCTGTGTTCCTCCAGCTCTACACTGTGTTATCTACAAAATGCATGATCTAACTTTTATTTTTGACTGAACCACAAAATGATGTCTGTGCAGTTCTCAAACTCTATATTTTTGGCTTTTTTTGTTTCCAAGAGACTGCAGTCATGTCCTTTGCTTTTCAGTGCTATTTCATTTTAAGCCTCTGCTAAAATGGTGGAGAAAGGAATTTCAGACAGTTGTGCCATGTTTCTGTTCTAATACTTGGGAATTCTGTTTTGGTTGTGAGGGTGGTTTTTAAATGGAGTGAATTGATATTATTACGAATTAGCTTGGGAAAAGTTCATTCTCCTACTTGGACAACCTTTACCCAGGTGGCATCTTCAATTCCAAAAGTTTGATTTGGCAGCATATAAAATAACAATTTCTTAGGTATTCTTTGGCAATAGTTTTGCTCAGCCACTCCCAATTTATTGGGAAATGATTGGATTCCAGTTATTTTGTAATCATGAATGTTTGGATGTTTATAACATTATTTTATTCATAGCTATTTCTTCACAGCTATCTGCAGACAAGCAATCAAGAACATTCATAGATATACATAGCATTTTCTTATTTTCTTATATTCAAGTTAATATTAATTTGACTTAATCTACTTGATGCACTGTATAGTTTTTTTTATCATCAATTATAATTTGTTGTGGATGAGCATACATGAATTTGAGTGCTGTATAGAGTCCATTAAGACATATTGAATTCTTGAATGTTGACCTGAATTCAATCATACTAAATTATAATAAATATTTTACCTACATATTAGAAATGTGCAAGGGTTAGAGATTAGGTGTTTTTTCAGCAAAGGCACGTTTCTCATCTCATAGAATCTAACTGAGATGCTTGAGAGAGTTGGGTCCAGTGGGGATACCATGGCAATACCATCTATTTGGCATACGTGATATTAAAACTGAACTCAACTGCACAAGTTGTTGAATTCATATGTGCTAAAGTCACATTTTTCTTTAGAATCATTGCTTACTGGAGAAAAAACAACTCCTTTTCTAATGTTGCATACATTTTACTTTGCTTTCTTCAAATTGAAGAAAGCAAAGTCTTTTTTCATAATGTGTCATACTGTCTGTTGACTGATTAAGATAGGGTGAGTGCATGTATGGCACATTTCAACAAGTTGAATTCATAAGGAATACTGATTCTCACAGTGGTAGCAAATCTAGATCACCATGATATAGCGCTTCAGTGCAGATGTCTGTGGCTTCCTTGAATGATACTTTTCTGAATAGGCCAGCAATATCAAATGAGTACATGGGCACTGCTTTGCTATTGAAATGCAGGTGCTGAATGTAAATTGTTTGTAGCAATTTACCCAACATTTAGCCAGCTCATGTTGCGCAGGATCGGTTATAAATGAGAAAGGACATGCAGCGACATTACTTTTGTGTGTCTCAGGCAACACATACATATGTGGATGCAGAAGAGCCATGAGGATGAGCCAATGCTATATATCACCTGCTGTTATACAAGTCTAGAAAGTGCTTTTTTTTTTAAAATAAGGTTATCCAATGAATATAAATTTAGACTCATCGTTAAGAGTGACATGCATTTTGTTGATATAGTCACACTTGTTTAGGATATAGTAATACTAGTAATACTATAATACTAGTTCCGTTGTCAGGTTGAACTGATATGTATGTCTGAGTTGGCCTTAGAGGTGTCGCATTGTGCCAAACACACTCATTGCATGTGAAATTCAGCTGAGTCTTTTGGAATCTACAGCATTAGATCTGCTAGGCATGAAGGTGTCTAACTGATCTTGATGTTTGAAAATGAGAAACTAACAAAAGTGAAAGACATTAAAGCTGTCTTACTTGTTCTTCTTTAGGCTTCTTCCTTTTGGTTCGAATAGTGTTGCACCAGGTGCTTCTACCATTTCAAAAGCTATTTTGCAAACCGGTTTCATTGTTAACTATGGGATATTTGATAAAGCCATAAATTTCAAGGTGACAACTCAGCTCCATCAGGAGAT